TTTTATATCAAGTGATTTAAGATATAATAAACAGAAAACTTGTATAATTTATGATATAATTAACTCTGAATAAGAGTAAACATTATTCATTTAGAAACCCGTTACCTTTTTAATGATGAGTAAATGTTTTTAACAAGCTCATTTTAATAGGAAATCTTTATTAATTTATATTCTCTTTACCCTCGCTTCACTGTATCACCTGTATTTTTTAGCCAGGGATTTACCTGCCTCGGAAGCTGACACAATTTATATCAGTTTCGGTGTGCAAACAGTTTGCTGACATTGATTCGGCTCAAATGAAAGCACTATCGATAAGATATTCGAAATGGCAAATAACAACAATTGCAGCCCATAAATTATAGGGGCCTTGGCTAAATATAAACGGGCATAGTTCAACGAACTAGAGGCCGTTTTCCAGGAAAGGGAAACAAGAAAGGGGATAGAAAATGGAAGTGGAAATGGAAAAGTGAGTATAGGGAAAGCAGAGATCTAGCGATGATCTATGTTTGGGCCAAACGTGTCATAACAGCAAACAGAAACCGACGAACCGTAAAGCGGACAGCAGGCCAAGCACAACGATATGGGGTTCCCTAACCCTTAACCCCTTGTTGACTTAATTGTTATCGCCCTCCCACCACCGCTGCACAAATTGTTCGTGTTTGACAAGTAGTTGTCAACAATTTTTGATAAAAAAAAAAAAAAACGTAAAACTAAAATGAAATTATTGTGTGTGACATGCAGAGCCCTCGCACACCCACTCCCCTTTAACAGCCCGCCTTAACACCCCCTTGGCAGCGGCGGCGGCGGCGATAGGAAGCCCATGGAGACCGCGACGGATGTTTTTATTTGGTTTGCAGTGCAGTGTCGAGTGTCGAGTGTTGCACGTTCGTAAATTTATTAGGGAATTTATGGCCTCGGGCAATCGTTTCGACTATTTGTTGGCCCCTCTCGGAGGGGAAAGCCAATTGATTTTCAATCAAGGTCGTAAATTATACCTGGCACCTATGAAAACTTCTCGGGAAATACATATATATCACTGGGTAAACATTTAAGCTTGCTTAGATTTGTTGAGTCTGATATGATGGTTTTTTTATTTAAGCTAACAAATATCTTAGGCTGAGGATAAATGCATATTTGTGACAGTGTCTATCGAAACATTGTTGCTAAAAGGTTATAATAATAAATGCAGTGTCCTAGTATAGTAGTACATCCTACAGAAGCAACAATAAAAGCTCCTTTTCAGCTTAAAATTTATTGAAGCTTAGTTTTACACTAATAACCTGCTACATTAAAAGTACTAGTTATTGGTCCTACCTCAAAAAAAAGCTCTAAACAATAATGCTGACCCATAAACACGTGAAAGCTCCTTTCTGCTTCCCCAAAATGCAATAAATTCTCATACACTGCCTGTCAAAATATTACTGCAGAGCTAGCAGGCATCTGTTTTAATTACAAGCAGCCAGCCAGGCCCAACTTTCCGACATTTTGACGGGCAGCAAATGCAACGGCAAAATTCTCCGGGGTCCTGGCTTCATTATTATCAACACGTTCACAGTAAATTGTGCAAATTGAAAACGCATACAAGTAGCATGTGCCACAGGGATATGCCAAGCAGGCCGCCTGCCAGCCTCCAAGGATGTGTAGGAGAGCGGAGGCGGAGTAAGGACACTCGAAATATGTCAAGGTATGCTAAATCCACTCCCCGAGCCAAGAGTTTTGCGGGCTAAGCGCTTTCTTGGCTGCCAGCCAACTTGGCTAATGCCAAAAGACAGTAACCACAGAGCCGAGCCAGAGCCTATCTCTACGGATATATATAGTTCCATGCTACTATATGTATATATGTGTGCATAAAGGCCTGGTTGTGCGTACTCCGCCCTCTTCTAGCCTCCCCTCTAGGCCACAGTGAAGACAATTACAGTAAACAAATTCGCACACGTCGTCAGTTGCATTTGCGGTGACAGGCTGGAAAACAAGGCCTGAAAATAGAGAGAGAGAGACACTGGGAGGGGGAATGAGTGCATGGGGGGAAAGAGGGGGTAATGGGGCCAACACCCCTACCCTGCTCCCACTTCATCCCCCCTTCCTTTTTGCGGTCAGGGCCGTTCCTTGGTATTTTTGGCAGAGCATTTTCTGGCCATGCATGAGATTTGCATTTTTTACGCCCCAAACCATTGGACTCTGGCACCGTAAAAAAAAGTAACAATACTAAGAAAGAGCTAAATAAATCATCTATATTTGTCCTCGACTTGGAAAACACTTTAAGAAAAAAATATATAAGCATAAATGGTTCAGGAAAATTACTCACAGCGATGAGTCTTTCATGAGACATGTTGTTGTCTTTATCAACCTACATTTTATATTCAAAATTCATTGTTTTATATTGCTTAAAATAAATTAATATTTAAATATAATAATAATCATATAATTCACCAAAGAATGAAACTATTTTTTTTACCAATTTTCTGATCATTTCTCCAAGTGCTCAGCTGCCGCTCACTATTCTCTTCGCTTCCAATACCCTACTCTTCCCTCCTTTCCCCATCGTTCTTCTCCTGCTTTCGACTTCCTTTCACGTTCCTTTGCAATTTGGCAGCCCGTTGCCAGAACCAGTTTGCCGTAGCATACTTTTCTGGGCCACATCATGATATATGTATGCAGCAGGCACATGAGGACGAGAGAGCACGGTATGCATGCACGCTGCAGCAATTGAATTGAATTTCTGCCGCTCGAGCTGTGAGCTCTTGAGCCACAGAGAACACAGAGAAAGCGTTGAATTCCCCAACATTGTCCGCACAGGTTTAACTTGGGATGGCTACCGTTTTCCACATTTTCCTTTCTAGACATTTTCCAGTATTTTTACTTTGCCCCCCAGACAGAGTGACTCGCTGGCTGAGTGACGCCTGTGAGTCTGCCTCCGTTTCGGTGCCTGGCCAACTGCCATGCGGAAGGAAGGATTGCCGCCGCCCTTGTGCTCCGATTTATGGCCAAGCAGTTGCAAAAACGCATAAACACATCATGGCCAAGGGAGCCTGGAGGGCAGCCCCTAATCGATAACTTATACAATGCAATCGCACAAGCACAAGCTACAAAATATAAAAAAGGATAGAAAATGGGAAGCCAAATCCTTTTGGGCCACTCGAGAAGCCCTGTGTGTCTTGTGCCAATCGATGGCACATAACTAAAATCTGTTTGGGTTTCGTCTCTGTCAACTTTGATTGACTGGCAGCAGGTCAATCGGCGAACAGCGGACGGCGACCGGCGGGGCTTGTGTCATCTTTGTGCCAAGTCAGTTGTCAATTTTCCATTTCATTTTCCAGGCCAAATATGTGTCATATATATATATGGCCTTGCAGTGCTCTCCGGCCATTAACTGCAACTATTGATCTTTTTGTAATTGGTTTTAACAGAAATAGATGGTGACTGCATCGCAGCGTCTGCATCTGCTTTTATCAAATTCAAATTCATTTCGTTTGCTAATTTTATGACAGCAACATATGGCCACCTAATCGGGGCACTCGGCGATATCGAGCTGTGCTGTGTGAGAGGTTGCTGGGGCCGTAAACATCGTGTAAAAGCCATTAATTTAAATTATAAACTATAAAGACAAAGCGATGGTGGGGCGAACGTCCATAAAAGTCGCTGTCGTTTCTGCTGTTGTCATTGCAGTTGTCATAAAAAGCCTGTCACACGATTTGTTTCTCCACAAATTTATGTCACTAGCGCGGGTCGGGGGATTTCCCTCATTAACACATATGTACATACATATGTGTGTGTGCCGGAGTGGAAAATTTAATGGCGCACGTTTTGTAATTCAGAATAGTTAGTGGAGGGATGCAAGGGGAGGTAAAGCAACTAAAATATTTTAAAACAAAAAAAATTGGAAAACAAATAACTTAAAATTATTATTATTATGTTGTTTATCATATTATTATTAGATACTTATAGTAATTTAAAAATGTTAAAATAAATACCGTTCACATTAAAAATAATATAAATGATTAGAAATCGATTTACAACCGATTACTATTAATTAAATATCGATGTATAATAAATCGACTCACTTTGCCATTTCTAAAGCTCAGTGAATTCCTTTTCAATTCAGCAACATCTTTTAAGTCCTGGCAATCAACGGTCTTTTGTCCCTATATTTATTGTCCTGGTTTGCGGGCTTCCCTCAACCCATTTCTCCTCTGCTTCTTTCATTAGAGAATTCTTTCTGGGGCAGAGCGATTAGTAAGCTGAAAATCGTTTTAGCCCACTTACCCCGCGCCAGTCCCTCCCCTTTTGCCAGTATTGAGCGTTGTCATTAGTGGAATGCGCTCGTATTTTTTTGCTCGAGGCAGCTGAAAAAACAATCAACGCCGCCAAAACTATGTAGCATGCTGCGAATTTTATGGCCAACAAGAGGGAAACCGGGAAACTGCTCTGCTTGTGTCGCCTGGCCGACAGCAGCTAAATAATTTGCAATTATGAGCCATTTAAAAGTTATTAACGCGACCGCCAATGATGGAACACAATGACGACGAACGGCGGTTCCTACTTCTGCATGCCCGGTCTTTATACTCGTATAAATAAATTGCTTAGCCCACGCCGACAATCGAAAACTATTGGCCACTTTGTTGTGGCTGCAGTATAGCCTGAGCTGGCCAACACGCCCACTGCCATTTTAAAGCCATAAACAATTAAACCAGACGGCCCACACGCCCACACACGACCACAGAGATCCATGGGTAAATATTTGATTTGTGCGATAATTCGAAAATGATATAGGCGCAGCAGGCGTTCCATAATTGCACAACAGAAGATGAGCCCGGCTGATGGATGGGGCTGATTATTACTCATCAGGAAGTAAAGAATACAAAATATTATTAGTAATTAACATAAACATATTTAATGAAATACTGAGTATTAAATATGGGTTGTCTCTATTAGCTTTTAGTTCTTAGTTTCTCTCTCTGTATTTTTACCTAATTAATATTTGCTAATCTTTCCCATTCCAGGCGCCATTTGCGGTGGAAGCTGTTGCAACAACGCCACGGAGCTGGAGCTGCGCGACAAGGCCGCCGGGAAGTTTGAGCTGCTGCTGCACCACCACACGAGCAGCCTGCGGGGAGTGCTGGAGACGAACGTCAAGCAATTCCAGAGTGAGTAGGACAGGCCATACAAAGGATTAGTGGGGATGGATAGGAGAAGGCCCAAGTGAAATCGAAAGGGATTGGGCGGGCGGTCGGCTGATAAGGGAGCCAACGAAATGGGCTTCTATGCAAATATATCTTGGCAAAGAGTCTGGAAAGTTGGCTAAGCTTTTTGCGGGCGATAGACCAAAGTATATTTTCGTGGCAATAAATAATTTATCATATGCAAATGTAGCAGCCCGCGCTCGGGATAACGATAAAAAGCTTAGCTTGACTCGCCATCCGCGAAGTGAGCTAACCAAATTAAACTTGAAACGCGAAATGCGAAATTGATTTGTAATTTGAATTTGTATGCAGATCATAATAAACTGATATAAACATGTGCCCAAAGAGTGTACATACATATATACACACAAACTGTCGATTCATAACCATAACCATCCTGCCTGTTTTAAAATGCAGCGAGCGCGACTCCGACTGCATCTAATTAAAAAGGCATTAAATAATGTTGTTGTAGTCGTTGCCGCTCGGCTGCCGTCCCTTTTTAGACAATTTTGCACAACTTTGTGTGGGTCACGTTTCGGCACTGCCACGCCCCCGGTCCCTCTCCGGCCTCTGGCCACAGTGCCTGCAAATTGTTGTCGTACACGCTGTAAATCTCGCTTCACTTTAAGGCGAGTTTTTGGGGTGATGTTGCTGCCGTGCGATGTTGCCTCATTGTTGTTCTGAGTCTGCAATTCTTGGAAATGGGCGCGCATTCAAAAAAGACTTTAAACACGCCCTTCTCGTTGTATGAGTCCATTCCCACACAGATACGACCACATACATATGTACATATATCTCGCAGTATTCAAAATTTATATATAAATACATTTGGCGAATTTGTTTGCATTTCGTGTGTTGTCATCAGCTTAATTTATGCTGTCCCATTGATTCATTCGCATGGGGGCTCATTCAATTTCGAGGCTTCCTTTTGGCAATATGAGTGTATAAAACATAATGTGCATTAAGTTAATGGTTCTTTAAATTTATCAATTTGTTTGCTGAACAATAAAGCAATTAGTTCTTTAAGATTATAGGGTATATACCCTTTACTTACATTTGGTACCTCAATATTTATTGTTTCAGTGTGATTATCTTTTACTTTTTATGTATTTAAAACAAAATACTAAATACATATTAATATAAACTTCCTTAAACTAAAATAAATTATCTTAATATTATATTGTTTTAAATACTTAAAAATATATTCTTAAAAATTATATACATTTTAATATTCTTTAATTCGATTTACACTGCATATTGCAGGGTATTCTCCAACTGATTAGCATTCAATTTGCGTGGAAGAATACAATGCATGATGATGTCACACAAGCCAAACACTGAAAAAGTCCCACGTTTTATTAAATAAACAGAACTGGGCTTTAAATATATTGAAATGCAGGCAGCAGAGTCATTTAGCTTCACTATCGGGCAATATAACAAATGATAATAATTGAAAAGCAATTGCGAGAGCAATTTGTTAAATTTCTCAAAACGAAAAACAAATAAAATGCATAAAGTGAGGTGCAGTTAATGTTCCGTAAGATTTATGAAGCAGTTTGCTAATTAATTCCTCAGTATGTAGAAACTGATGCTGATATAGTAGTAATATCGGGGGAACTGTTCAGTTGTCTGACTGCGATAACGGGTTTCTTGTTGGCCAAAAAACTTCTGGCCCAAACAGCGTACTTATCGTTCAGTCTGTGCGATGGCACGCGTACCCTTAGTTGCAGCAGAGTGGCCATAAAAATTGATTTACTTTCGGGAGAGCATACCCGGCGTATGCGTGATGCAAAGAACCTCCACCGAAAAATGAGCAACTATAAAAGTTTATGCATTTCTTGGCAATCGCTGGTGTAACTGCTCTCTCTCTCGCCCTCCCCTGTACTTTTTCTAGCGAAATAACGCATAAAATATTATGGTATGCGAAATAAATGCATATTTCTATTTTGTGCCATAAACTTGCCAACTACAACAGCTTGTGGCATATGCAATACAAGCCGGGGCTTCCTTCCTGTTCGAAGTTGCCCATTCCCCCCGGTGAGCCACACCCCTGTCCTTGCTTCCGTTTCCGCCCCGCATTGTGTCCGCCATCGCTTTTGTGCTGCTGCTGCTGCCGGTGCTGCTTTTTGTTTGGCGTATTATTTTTAAGCAAGTATTTGCGTGTTTAAACACGTTTCGCAGCTTACGAATTATATGGGCCCGTTCCCTACCTCCCCCCAAAAATAACCCCAATCCTCAGAGCTCTCTCCGATCCCCAATCCCCCGGCTTCCAGCACTCGAACCCGCTCCACCAACGCAGTGCGTTTCCATTGCACTTACTTACCACGTCGCCACCATCGTCATCGTCATCATCAGAGTGGCTGCTGCCTTCGTTATCGTTTATGCACTGAGAAAAATATCATTAAGATTAAAAGAACTAAGATTGAAGAAGTAAAGAACCTATACACTAGCGTTGATTGAGAAATATTAAATAAAATTAAGTTCCTTTCAATATTTTCAATCACTTTAATTGATCTTTACTTTTATATTGAAAGTAAATGATGTCCATATGTTCCAGTCTAAAAAAATACTTAATTTTACTCTTGTAAATTCTATATAATTTGCCGTAGATGCTATTTTTTATTTTAATTTTCTTGCTATGTAAATTCCCATTGTCGTCTTGTTGTGTTGCTCACGCGCTTAATGCGTTTGGCTGCCGCCATCTCCTGCCACCTGTCCCCTTTTACATCCTTACCCCTTGTGAATCTTCATATCCTCTTGAAGCTCTACCCCTTTTTTGTGAGGGCATGGGCGTGCGCCTGCATAAAAGTTCCAAATGCTGACTTACTGCTCTGCCGGCACAACTTTTGCCCCTTTGGACAAGGCGAAACTAAAAATAAAACAAACAGAAAATGCGGGAAAACTGCAGAAATTATATCTTTATTTTTTTTTGCGGCTGCCACAGCAGCTGCACTGCGTGCACTTTCATAAGTTGCAACTTGCTGCTTTCCTCCGAATCCCATTCCCCTGGCCCCTCGCTGACTCCAACTGGGCCAGGCTTAAGTCTTTTCGGCCATATCTTGTGCTTGGGCCCGGCTGCCTTCTTGTCTTTACGGCCAAAAGTGGTTTTTGGCCGCCATCGCTTGTTAGCTGGCTTTTGTTTGCCTTGTCACAGAGTGCCAGACATCGTGTTGTTGTTGCTGGCAAGTGTTTGCAGCCCGATGTTGTTGCAGATGCAGTTGCAGTTGCATTGCAGTTTGCAGCAGCATCGCATGTGGCCGTTGTCATTAGGTTTTAGTATGATTGAGGCGTGGTGGCAATCCCCTAGTTAAGCCAGAGATTTTTGTAAAACTTATCGGGAACACGCAGAGCAAGGGAGGTCCTAAAAGCCCACGCAGAGCAAAATATATATCCGAAATATAAGTCTCTTTTTCTTGGATTAAACTTAGTAAGAACGTAAATATTTATTACAATAGACTTTAATTTAATTTCTTGCCCAGCTTAAATTTTAACAATATTTTTTTGAAAGACAAAGCTTAAACGTATTCTTCTCTCAAATAACCTTTGCTTTCAAGTGCTTCGTTCTCATCCCAAAACTCGTTCACATCTCCGACATTCTTTTTTTTTTCTATATCACGAATATAGCCGCGACCTTCAGACTCCAGCTTCGATTTCTCAATGAAATCGACAGGAAACCGAAGTTCAAAACCGTCGAACACCTGCAGATGGAGACGCCCCCAACCGAAACCAGTTGGCAGTCAAAGTCTAGTTGGCTTATAATTGTTTGCTTTTATTTGACAAAACAAATAGCGAATCACTAATGGAGCTGTTTAGAGGCGAACTTAAATTTCCACTCGTCCCATTAATTAGCAGCGCCTTAAAAAAAACACACAAAAGCGCTGCCATTTTGTCTGCCACTTGCGATCCGCTCCGATACAGAGCTCCATATGTGTGCATATATAATTACCATAATTAGTTGCTTGGCAAATTAAACGCTGAAAGCTCGCGCTTGTAATTAACGCGCCACCAAAAACGGCAAAAGGCAACATGAAACCGCTCGCGCTGTATGGGGGAACGGGGGCTGAAGGAGACCTGGTCCAGGTCAAATAACTTCCAATTGATGCAGACGACATATGCTCTGAAGCATTTCAATATGTCGGTACCAAAAAGGTCGACCTGTGCTTAGCTCCATGAACTCCACTCTGCTCCGCTTCTCTGCCTCCTCTCGGGTCCAACAATGAAAAGTCATCCAATTACTTTGACATTGTGTAGGGGCCCGAAGACGAGGCCCTCTGGATCGGATCGAATGGAATGGAATGGGTTGAGGTGGGACTATGGGCTGGGTTAGGCTGAGATGAGTTCGCCTGCCAAGAGCAGCTTGCCGCAGGCTCACAGCTGTTGGAGTGGCGACTTGGATAGCTGGATACTGGATGCTGGATTGCCGGGTACTCCGCCAAAGGGGCGTGCCAAGTTGGCACGCCTGCAGATAGCTAGTTACAATACATGCACTTAAGCTGCCTGCCACGCACAGTGGGATGGGGTCACCAGATGGCTTGAAGAGCTTGCCAGCTTCTACTAGAACTTATAGAACAGAAAATGCTTGCTAAGAAGTTATTTACTAGGCAGAATTAGGGATATTTATTTATTAATTATTAAAACAGTAACCTTAACAATGGAATTTCGAAATACATTTTAAATTAGAACCACTGTGCCCATTCCATTGCCATAGGCATCCACTTCCTCCCAGTCACCAGTCTCTGGTCTCTGGTCGCAAATCCAAAGAGCTGCTTCCGCCAGACGGACAGACGACGAGGAAGGCCAAGACGAAACCGTCTTCAGGGCCAGAAAAAAAACTTGCCACAGTTCAAGACAAAACTAAACGCGGCTAAAAAGCTAAGCCCGCCGAGCAGCAAAAAAAGGAAACATAAAAAAGAGGAGCAAGAATGAAGAGCACTAACAAAGTTGCCGTGGCATTCATAAGGCAACGGATGGGGATGGTTTGGCGGGGAAATACATGCATATAAAATGCAAATAAAAAATGCGGCAGATACTAAAATTGTAATATCCGCACAGGAACGCAGGCCACAAATACGAAATACAGGCAAACACTATGGGCCCGGAGGAGCAAAGGAGGAGTCCTAAGGAGAATATATAAAAATACAAAAGCGGCAGGAAAAAAGCGGGCAAAATAAAACTAAACCTGTGGGCTGTGTGTGCTTGGTGTGTGTTTGGTCTGTGTGTGCGCTGCATATTTCTGCCGATGCCGTGGGAAACAACAACACAGCCCCTGGACCGCGGTCCCATCTGCCTCAGTCGGGGCTTTCGGGGCCTGTCCCCGGGCCACGAATCCGAATCCAAAGCCGAAACCGAATCCGAATCCAAAACCGATACCCAAACCGGTCGGTGGCAGCCTGAAACTCGAACTTGGCATGCTAATCTTGCCTTCCGCCGACTTCTAATGAAGCAATGAAGTCGAAGCCTTTGCCGATATTTGCTCTATGCGAATAGCCAAGAAATGCACAGGAAGAAAAGGTCCTTTCATAGTTATGAATGGGAATAAATATCATAAAATGCAATTAATTACTTAGAGACAGCTATCTCATTGCATACATTTCCTTGTAACCAAATGTTATATTTAGATTAAAATTTAATTGCAAATCTTAGATACATCATCTTGATGTGTCCCCAGAAATTTCCCCTGTGCAAGAGCAAACACTCCAGCTGTATGAATATATTTTTACTGTCTGGTCGTGGGCTTCGTTGTAGGTTTTCGGCTTTTGGCCAGCCCTGGGACTCGAACCCACTCCTTGGCCAACTCTACACTGGCCGCACTTGGTTGTCTAATTCAATTTTATTGTCTGTGTTTGCCCATTAGGGCGATTTACCATGTGTGACAGTCCGCCTTTCCTCCTCTTTAAAAAACTCTCCCCCAGCTTAATGAAATTTTCATGTTTCATTGGGAATGCCATTTGCCCTGCTTTATATTTGATTGCCTTCCGAGCAGACATAGATATACACTATGTATATGCTATATCCCTGGCAGCCGCAATAAAAATGCCCTTGGTTAATTGTCAGGCTGGACGGACACAGATGGCTAGATGGAGCCGGACAGAGACCGAAATTGCAATTAGTTGCACAACAGTAAATGCCTGTCTGTGTGTGTGTGAGTGCCCGCAGGTGAAGTGCTGAGTTAACAATTTATGAGATACAAAGATACAAATGTAACCCACCTGAGGCGGCTCTGTCCATTCGGTCTTGTGTGTGTGTGTGTGCCCCAACTTAATTGAGCATATTAAGCCAACAAAGGCAACTGCAATAATACATATCAAGTATACGCAGCGTTGGCTGCTTTCAGCAATTCCCAATTGACAAACGCTCGGAGATAGAGATAGACAGACAAAGATAGAGAGTTAGAGAGATGGTTCATTAAAATTGCAATTAGGCAGTGAAGCGAAGGAAGTGCCACTACAGCATCCAAATATCCCGCCAACAAGGCATAGACTGGGTTGGGTTTATATACAGATGGAAATCAGATGGCAATGCATCCTTTGAAAGGTTACTGGACTTTTACTTTGAAAATACTTCAAATGTTTATAAGAATATCATTTAAGTAAACTCTATTGAAAATTAGAGAATATATATGCTTAATATTTTCTTTGTTTTGGAGAGACTCTCAGCTTTCCTGAAGGAAATACTTTCCATCAATAGAAGCTATTCAAGGCATGTCAGCCATCTAATTGCCAGCAGCATCCGCACTTCCTCAGCTCAGGCTCCATCTACATCTCCTTTCCCCCTTTAATGGTTCACTTTGTGCCAGTCGCCCCGCCGATTTAATGAGCCAATCGAGCAGGGATCCCGATGTCGCCTATATATATGCGACACACAGCTCACACATCTCTGTGTGAGAACGAATATATATCCGCGCATCAACACGTTCGACGCGGCGTGTCAATAATTAAATGTTTCCGCCAGTCGACGGCTCCATTTAAACTATGCCACGTCAATGAGTTTAGCGACAGGATGTGTGAGCTCCCCGAACTTCCCGACCCTGTATCCGTATCTCGGTATTTGTATCTGTATCTGTTGGGTTTGAGTTGTGAACGCGTTAAATCAATTGGCGGGCTTTGTTTATCGATTTATCGCATCCTGCGCAATTGTCAGCCACAGCCGAGCCATTATTAGACCCTCTATTAAAACGCGGGCATAGCATTAAAAAGAGTTCTTACCCGAGAATTATCACACTTGCAAAGCATATCATTAGAAAGTCATTTGCGCTGGTAATTTTATGTTATTTTCCCTGAGAAAATTTATTGCAAACTATAATTGACAGATGTTAAACCCTTTGTTGATTTCAAAAACTAACGAGCCGAGGGACACTCTGAGGGTTATTTTTTCGATACCGAAAATCGTTAGTTTCGCTAATTAAAAAGGGTAAACTCTGCCCGCCACAGATGACGCATCAAAGGCCATTAGCCGATGGAGCGGACTCCGAACCGAAGCCGCAACTGACACATCCAAGTGGCTCCCTAGCCCCGGCCCAAGCCAAGCCCAAAAAGCACACAGACACAAAGTCGCATTCAAACGCTGAGAACGGAAATGCTCCAACATCAACATCAAAATCAAAATGAGCCGCAGCGTAGAACCCACAGAAAACAAAAACCAAAAACAAAAAAAGGGGAAACAAAGCTGAAAATGTGTGTTCTGTGTGTTCTTTTGTTGCCAATTAACAGAAAGATTGACACTTTCGTTTGAAAGCGATATACAAGACAGCGTATTGCAATTTAGAATTTGTCAGAGGACCCAAAAATATACAAATAAAAAAAGCATGGGGGGCTGGGTGAGAAATCACACGCCGATTTGACAGTTTCTCAATGCTATCTCCATATATCAGATATATACAGAACGAGAGCCGACGACCTCGGGCATTTGTAATCTGCGATAATGACAGGCTGCCAGAGGAGTGTATCTGCATCGGTATTTGTAGCTGTATCTGTATCTGTATCTTTAGCCGTGTGTTTCGATAGCCAATCTGTGTATCCAAATCAATTCGCACAACTGCCGCTGACACCTTGACAGATAACATTGTGTCACATTAGGTTTTTCTTTCGCTCAGCCGTGTGATTAGTGTCTGAATATTAAGAGAATTTATCAACTTGCTCCGCCTGATTCGCCAATTGAGTGACGGATTATAGATAGTATCTGATAGCTGGTAATTAAATACGAGAGACTACTACTCAGCAGAACACAGGAAAATATGAATATGCATATAAATAAGACAATATTCAAAATTCCTCTTAGATTAAATTAATAAAGCTAACAGTTATGGAATCTTATCATAAAGAGATTAAGGTGAAAGCTAAAATTACAAGCTATGTAAATATAATCAATTACAATCCTATTATATTAATAATATTAAAACAAACAAAATATATAAATATATGTACACAGAATACTTGTTAATTATTACTTTCCTCTCAGTTGAATTCCAAACACTCTGTTCCATAAATTTATTCATATTTGCCTTCGTCAGAACACAGGCATGGCCATATTAAATTGTATTTCATTAACTAAAAGCTTACCCAGAGAGGGAGATAGAGAGCAAAGCCAACAACTATTTTTTTTTCAGTTCGTGATGGGCGGAAATCCCAGCCAGGCCATTAGGGCAGAAGTTTCGCGAGTCCCGGCTGGGGAAAACTTCGGCAGCAAAGTGATTAAATTTCGCTAGGAATAACAATAACAATAGGACCACAATACCTTTGGCCCAACTATAATGGATACCCTTTTCCCTCTTCTTCTTGCGGCAGGTCACGTCATGGAATTGGCCCAGCAGTCGGAGAACAATACGCAGTCGGTCTTCGCGACGATCTACTACCGCATGGTGCCCCGCGTCCGCCAGATGATTGGCCATTTGTACACTGAAATCATGAAGTGAGTGGCACGAAGCTTTACTCTTATTAATTTTTTTATAATTATTTTTATGTACTAAATAATAACCCTCTCTAGCCACATGAATTACGCCTCGAACTACACGAACAGCAACGACCAGTTGGGCAGACGTAGCATCGGGGGCGTCAGCAGTGTCCAGACCCACCTGGAGGAGGCGGTGCATCGCTTCTTTGTCCAGCTGTTCCCTGTGGCCTACCACCAGATGGTGCATCTGAACAATGACAAGTTGGGCGAGTTGCATGAGGACTACATCAACTGCCTACAGCACAACTACGACGAGCTGCGCCCCTTCAAGGACATACCGCAACAGCTGCAGGCCAGCCTCGGCAAGAGCGTCCACATGTCCAACGTCTTCATGAACGCCCTGATCCAGGCGGCCGAGGTCCTCTCCGAGGCAGACGGCCTCTATGGCGAGCAGCTCACGAACTCCTGCAAGCTGCACCTCCTCAAGATGTACTACTGCCCCAACTGCAACGGACACCACCCCCCGCCGGAGGCTAAGCTTTGCGACGGATACTGCAAGAACGTGATGCGGTGAGTTTCGGTTGAAGACTTTCTTTAAACATTAAATAAAGTAAAATTTATATTGTTAATTTTATATTAAAATAAATATTAAAAAGTAATAAAATTATGTAAACATTCGTTTAATCTCCGCAGTGGCTGCTCGGCGGAGTACGCTGGCCTGCTGGACAGTCCCTGGTCGAGTGTCGTGGATGCCCTCAACAACCTGGTGACCACCCACATTCTCTCGGACAACGGCATCATTAACGTCATCAAGCAGCTGCAATCGAAGCTCTCGGATGCAATAATGGCAGCCATGCACAATGACTCCGAGTTGGAGCAAAAGGTAAGTGGACCCATCGAAACCATTATTAACAGAAGTTCGACAGCTATTGTTTATATGTTCTTTATTATTGGTTCTTTACAAACTCCTAAATTATATAAGCAACTTAAAATGTTCACTAAAAAGCCATTTCTCAGGATATCTTTAATGGAAATTCACAGCCATCTCTTTCGAACTCGCTTTTTTGTCTGTCGACCATCAGATGATACGATCGATTTCATTTACTTGCGTCCCAAGGACACGTTCGCTTAATGGTTTAATTGCCACTTAATTTATGAACATTTTAAGTGAATTTAATGAATCGGAATTCAGTTCCGGCCTTCAAGTCAAAGTCCGAGTCCGATCGCTGCAGCAGAAGCCTCGAAAAAGTATCTGAGGCATTCCGAGAGCTTGTTCAACGTGGACATGGCATCCGCATAATTATTGTCTGTGGCTGGGAATGTAAAATGCTAAATTAGAGTGGGGAGTGGGACCTCTCCAGCCCCCTGAGAGTTGCAATTTACATGCAGGTGTGAGGACACACGTGCTGGTTGCATGAACGGCGGTGATTAGTCGTTGGAAGTGGCCCTCACTCTAAGTAACCTATCTCTATCTCCATTTCCAGGTGAAGAAGACATGTGGATCGCCCAGTCTGACGCCCTATGCCACCGGAGAGCCGGATGCTAAGCCTCTGGCGCACAAGAACGCTATCAAGTACGCCACGCCCCCGGATCCGGGCATGGTCCGCTTCCTGTCCACCATCGACCAGAGCAAGGAGTTCTACACGAACATCGTGGACAAGTGAGTAACCAGCAGACAATGACACGAACTATATAGCTTTATTCTATATATTAAGTTACACTGACCGACCGACCCATGATTTGTGTTGAAAAATTAACATTTTAAGATGATAATTCCAGTTAGGATTTCTTGGGGTTCCGGATTATATCGATCACATCCTTCAGCAGGCAGAAATACAGCGGTGTACCGATGGCAATGAAAAAAATCAAGTTGGCAAGAAATCCGTTCTTCACCGGCAACCGGCAGCCCTGAAAGTAGTTTTAATAATTTATTAAATCATATAATAATCCTGGAAAGTCAGGTTCCATATATACTATACTTACTTGCCGCGTATCTGGAGATAACGGACGGGCCAAGCAAAAGTCGTGGGCCAATTTATGGATGTACAGGACCAGCTCCTTGAACATTTTGCTCCGATTTCTTGATTTGTGGATCCGGATGTTTATATGTAGTTGTATATTTTTGTTCAGTTGACAATTCCAGAGGGAAATACAAATTTTGAATGAGTAGAAAACACCAGCTTACCAAATTCCCTTCCTTCGTACACTTTACAGCTTCTGCGACGAGCACCACTCCCGTGAGGATCACTCCTGCTGGACAGGCGATCGCTTCGGGGAGTACAACCAGCTGCTGATCAACCCGGGCATGGACACCCAGCGGTACAATCCGGAGGTGCCCTTCAACTCCATGACCCAGGCTAGCCAGCTGAACGAGCTGGTAGACAAGCTGATCAAGATCCGCCAGAGCATTGGAGCAGCGGTAGGATTCAGCAGATTCTAATTTAATTTGTGTATTAATTACTAATAATTATATTTTATATTTAGCAGACACCCTCAAACAGCATACAGTCGCACGATATTCAAAGCGACATGGGCCACGAGGGATCTGGGGGAGGCGAGGGCCAGATCGGCGACGATGAGGAGGAGTACGGTGGCGCCCATGGCTCCGGCGATGGTTCAGGCGACGGTAAGCTGGTTTTTTTAACATAAATGTAGATTTATTCTACGAAACCTACAAAGATCAGAAAGAGATCAAATACATTATATCGAATAAGATGCGCTACGCCACATGACAGCTCTATGCTCAATCCAGGCTCCATTAAAGCCAGAGAGAGCGAAAAGTATGTGCGTTACGCATCTTATTATTTATATTATCTTGTTATTATACCCTTGCAGGGTATTATAATTTCAGTCAGAAGTTTGCAACGCAGTGAAGGAGACCTTTCCGACCCTATAAAGTATATATATTCTTGATCAGCATCAACAGCCGAGTCGATCTAGCCATGTCCGTCTGTCCGTCTGTCCGTCTGTCCGTCCGTCTGTCCGTCCGTCTGTCCGTTTCTACGCAAACTAGTCTCTCAGTTTTAAAGCTATCTGAATGAAACTTTGCATATAGTCTTCTATATACTCTCACTGCTATATATGTCGGAACGGGCCGGATCGGACGACTATATCATATAGCTCCCAAACAAATGATCGATAAATTTTTAGAAAAAAAATTATAACTTTGCTGTTTATCAACATTTTTGCACAATTTTTTTGATATGGTCATTTTATATTATTTCTGAATTTTTGTAAAAGTTTCATGAAAATCGGACGACTATATCATATAGCTGCCATAGGAACGATCGGGAAATTAATAGAAAAAACATTATAACTTCGTTGTTTTTCAACCTATTTTTATCTACTCTGAGATATAAGCTTATTTTATTAGTTCAGAATTTTGGTATAAATTTTATGAAAATCGGACAACTATATAATATAGCTGCCATATAAACCGATCGGTAGATGTAGAGAAAATGGAAAACTGGGAATGTAAAACTGTAACTGTCAAACTCTAAACAATAAGTATAGGTAAAATTTAATGAAATAATATCTGCAAGGGTATACAAACTTCGGCGTGCCGAAGTTAGCTTCCTTTCTTGTTTTTTCTTTGGTTTCTTTTGACACAAAACCCTTATTAAATTTCTCATCCTTTATAGGCCCCGACGTTACCTTCAATGGCAGCCCGCCAATCACCGAACAGGAGCCACGCGACAACGGCAAGGCCAGTGGGTCCAACCCACTGGCGGCCACCACGGCGACGTGGATGCTCCTCACTCTAGTCACAATGCTCCTCAGTAGTTGTAGTTAAGGATGCTGCCCCCAGGGTCGAGGGATGTAGTAAACACACACACAGGACCCCGCTGCGAGGGCGAATGCGATAGCGACAGCGAGGGGAGGCCGGAAGCCTCGAGAGAAACAGCAGATGCACAAGAATCGAGTTAAATCATTAATTAATAACTATTATCATTATTATTATTATTATTTGTGTAATTCTTAAGTTGTTACAAGTAATTTATTAGGCCCTAAGCGCATTCATCTCTAGCAATCGACTAACAACTTACACACCAGAAGCGAAAGCGAACCCACTTTCCCTTCTAGCTTTTCCAAATTCAGAGCTCATCGAATTTCCATGCCGAGTCCAACTAGACTTATGTGCCATATAGATGTGTTGGGCTCTGCGTACACAAAACCAGAGAGTAATTGCGAAATACACAACTAGACGAAGTTAGGCTCAAACTCAGCAGAACCCCGTCGTCCTCCCATAGCATAGCAAAGAGTGTGCGAGCAGTTTGTTCAGATAAATGTTAATATATATAACAGTACCGTACGTAAAGCTCAATGTTCAAAGCAAGTTGTTCCTTTTCGGTGTTCGAGTAATTAGGCGAGTAAGCTCTGGGTAAACAGAAAGTTAGAAGCTATGGCACCACATTCAATGGATTCAACGGTTCTCTCGACGCGATCCAATCACCAATATTATACGAATAATACGTACAACGGATATGTAGATCTGTTAGCTATAGATCAGTGGATGTTAAAACTATACGAACTGAGCGAACGAACGATCCATTGGGAAATCGAAACGAAATGCATACGAATGGAATTTAGTTGAGGAAACGCACTTTATGGAAAAACTAGAAGACTTACAGCTTTATACGCAAAACAGAAACAGAAACAGAAACGGAAACGGAAGACGATGAAATCTATTGATATATACGTATATTATATGTAGCATTATTTAAATTATATATATGAACAAAGAGAGAAGACCTGGAGGTAATGTCATTCAATGCATTCAGCTAATTAGAGTTTATGGAAGTTCAACGAGTTTGCATGCGAAAATTTACAAGAAAAACTGCGGGAGTTCAGCGCACAATTTCGCAATTCGCAATCTGCAATTCGAAATCGAAACTATTGTTGCAATCTAACGGATACTTTACAGTGGGCAGAGCGCTGCTTAATCAAATCCAGAGAGCAGCGCTGGCGACACTCTAAAACACAAACAAATATATAGTTTATACACAAATGAATATGAAATATGCATTGATACGGCGATAAGAATGAAATCTATATATATACATATATACATAAATGAATTAACTAATTAAATCGTAATTATATGCTAGTGCGTAAACTGTAACGATTAGCCCGTAAAAAAGTGTAAAAAGCAAGCAGTTGACCGAGAACAGCAAATTTAGTTAGTAGCAAATTAACAAAGGAGACGCCAACGACCGCCGCACACTTTCCTGTATATATCGCTATACTTATTGGGCCGATCGGACCGGATCGTAGCTGGGCAGGTGTGTGTGCACGCGGGTGGCGAACTATGTATAATTATTATTTGTACTATTATTATTTAACTATTGCATGTGATTAATAATATTTAAGTTAAACGTAAAGCGCAGCATATTAAATTGTAACTTATGTATACCGCAAACAAAAACAACAACAGCAGCAATGTGCGGGGGGAAATCATCATTGTAAATCTATTCGGAGATAACCAATGCGAGAAATCAGCAAGAATTGCACTAAAAATAAATGTACTACTTTTAGATGCCTAAAAACCAATAAATAATTATGTAACAAGAACAAGCGAGTCCAGCAAGTTTATTGAGCCAGAGAGAGAGAGCGCGCGACGCAATAATACTATGAGTAATTGAGTGTAACGGCCGCAAAAACCGTAAACTTTTGTAAATTTCATTTAAAACCTGAATAAACGTCAATATTTGAAATTCAAAACTATCGCGCCCTTTTGTTTTGGCTTTAGCTGAGCGAGGTGGCAACGTTGGCCAGCGGATGTTTATGGCGACAGAGTTACCAGACTTTTCGTGCATACGCGACCAGCGTTGCCAGACAGTGCGCTTATTAGAGTTCCGGCGTGTTAGTGTGCCCAGAAGCCGCGACCATAGAAATCTGACAGATACCAGGATTCCAAATTTGTAATCAAAACAAGAAAGGAAGCTAACTTCGACACGCCGAAGTTTGTATACCCTTGCAGATATTATTTCATTAAATTTTACCTATACTTATTGTTTAGAGTTTGACAGTTACAGTTTTACATTCCCAGTTTTACATTTTCTCTACATCTACCGATCGGTTTATATGGCAGCTATATGATATAGTTGTCCGATTTTCATAAAATGTATACCAAAATTCTGAACTAATAAAATAAGCTTATATCTCAGAGTAGATAAAAAATAGGTTGAAAAACAACGAAGTTATAATGTTTTTTCTATTAATTTCCCGATCGTTCCTATGGCAGCTATATGATATATTCGTTCCGATTGAAATATTATAAAAAGGCCATATCTAAAAAATGGTGCAAAAATGTTGAAAAACATCGAAGTTATAATTTTTTTTCTAAAAATTTATCGATCATTTGTATGGGAGCTATATGATATAGTCGTCCGATCCGGCCCGTTGCGACATATATAGCAGTGAGAGTATATAGAAGACTATATGCAAAGTTTCATTCAGATAACTTTAAAACTGAGGGACTAGTTTGCGTAGAAACAGACAGACGGACGGACGGACGGACATGGCTTGATCGACTCGGCTGTTGATGCTGATCAAGAATATATCGACGCATTTCCGCGAAAATATCGTATGTCGCTTTTTTTCGAAATTGAGATTTTAATGCAAAATTGTTAGGCACCTAATGTCTCACCACCCTGTGAAATATTATAACTGAAAGCCCTATAGTTCCGATAAAAATTAAGTTTCAATTTTGTCTTTTCTATAGTGCTTCCTAAATCAGAAAAAAGCTTCTCCTGTAAAATTGGATTTTTCGACCTAAGATACTTTCGCGGAAATGCGTCGATATATACTTTATAGGGTCGGAAATGTCTCCTTCCCTGCGTTGCAAACTTCTGACTGAAATTATAATACCCTGCAAGGGTATAAAAAGTTCACTTTGTTACCTTATAAAACAGAGCACTGACCATGAACCTGACGAGACGACGCCTGCGGAGGATAACTATTCGGGAGCTGCCCACCCGACGACTGTAACAATTTAAAATTAAATTTATATTCGACACCTCTGTTTAAGATTATGTTAAATAATATGAAGATAGAGAATACGTTGTAAGCAGCAAAACTTAAATAAAAACCAAAATTAAAAAAAAAAAAAACAAACCTTATAAAAAGGCGAATTTGTGCCTCGTTTCGCTGCTGAACGGGTGGCGGTGCGGTGTAAATTTACTATCATGACATTAAATTTTTACTAGGTCAGCCATTGAATCCAAAATGATCTATTTTCAGGATTCCTAAACGAGCACAAATTATAATTAAAAATAATAAATTAAGGACTTTGTACTTTAGTTTGTTCGAGTTTACATACGTTTAAAATTTGTTTAATTACCTCGATTTCGATTGTTTATATCGATGTATCGTATAATTAAAAACCAATTACTCGATTATTAAATCGATTTTGGAAAATATGAAAATAATCGATAGTATATCGATTGCTCTTCAGCTTTTTGCGCGAATAAAGTTCAATTATTTTTAATTCGTGGAAAAATATTGCATAGTAAAACAGAAACTGTGCGTAGGTGTATTGGTGGCTCCAATAACAAGCAACGTTTTTGGGGAATATTCGCTGAAGTACAGAATATCCAGCATGGAAACCAAAAATCAAGCATGCCGGCAGAAAATTGCCTGGGCCAGATTGTGCTGCAAAAACATAACCTCTTTTGAAGCTCTGGGTAAGAGCTTGAAATATCGTAAATTTGTCCTTTTAGATACAGTGTTTAGTCCCAGCCCCAAACTAATACTAGTTGATTTTCTTTTACGTTTTATTTTAGACCTAATCAACGAGGAGTTCTCCGTAGGACGTGCCTGGGAGAGTTCTTTGGTCCTCACCCTTAGGGAGCTGCCCGAGCGCATCCTGAAAGTCATTTCCAAAGTCCACTTTATTATCAAACGAGCCAACAGCGATCCGTCCTGCCCTATTTACATACAGGATGTCTCACAGAACGGCACCTTTGTGAATAACGAAAAAATTGGCCGCAACAAGGAGCACGTGTTGAAAGATGGCGACGCTATTTCCTTTTCCCAAAACACAGACAACTTGCTGGTGTTCGTGGATCTCAGACTTCCGGTGGAGTTAACTAAACGATATAATGAAATTCGCAAACTCGGTTCCGGGGCCTGTGGACTGGTGCGCCTTGTCAGTGATACTAGCACTGGCCAGCAGTTCGCTATGAAGATTGTGAAAAAAAGGGTGTCGGCGACTGCACGCTCCATAGACCCAGTGCTAAAGGAGGTCGAGATCATGAGAATTCTATCGCATCCGTGTGTAGTTCGTTTGCACGATGTCCATGACAGACCGGAGGCCATTTATATGCTGCTGGAGGTTGTGGCGGGCGGTGATCTCTGCAAACGGATCCAAATCAAGGACTATCTCAGCGAGGAGATAGCTAAGCTGTACTTTTACCAAATCTGTCATGCCGTTAAGTATATTCATGACTGCGGCATAATCCACCGCGACCTTAAGCTGGAAAATGTCTTGCTGGCGACCAATGACGAGGAGACCCTGCTGAAGGTCTGCGACTTTGGTCTGAGTACGTTTATGCAGATAAACCTTCCAGACGAACCTCCTGTTGTCGCCCAACTGGTTTGCACACCGAAAGCGGATATCTGGAGCTTGGGAGTGTTACTCTTCTGCTGCCTGAGCGGAACGTGGCCTTTCTCTTCCAACGAAGGCCTTACCTTGGGCGATTCCATATTAAGTGGAAAGTTCGCCTTTAATGCACCGCAATGGAAGAATGTCTCGCAGGCCGCGAAGCTTCTGATTACCGAAATCTTCAATGTGGATCCAAAAAAACGTCCATCAATCGACTACATTCTGCAGTGCACCTGGCTAAAGGACGCGCCAATGCAGCAGAAAGCTAAGAAGCTAATGAAGCTCTGAAGCGTGAAAAGCTAGAAGGAATAAGTATGTGGTACGCCCTAAGCGTTCGAGAGGCATTTGAAAACATTTTTATTTTCAACTTTAGTTCCATCTTATCTGCTCTGTCATCCGTATTTCTGTATAAAAAGATACATTACCAATGTATAAGAAGTAAATAAATCTTAATTTAATTAGTAAAGCATGGTAATTGTTAAAATGCACTTGTCAGTGGCTCGGAAATGTCGGATGGAGGTAACGCGGAAAACGCTGTCACGGCTTAAAGCCCTGTTTTATTCATTTTGTTCCTGCTGGTGTAATCAGACCACCTGTCGCTACCTGAGCCGAAAAATATGCAAGTTACGGGGAAGTCCCCCCATTGGGGCCGATTAAGTGTGACCAGATACCGGGGTGTCAGGCAATGTGAATGCGTTTCGCCATTCTGACCGGAAAGGCAGGCGGGCACACCGCGCAGACCAACAACAAAGACTGCCCCAAAGACAACAATTGCGAAAAGCAAAACACGGTTTTTACGATTTATTGCTGTTCAGGGCAATGCTCGAAAGCAAATCTAGCCGACGACCAGATACGCGTACTTTCGGCCATTGGCAGGTGTTTTTCCGACGGCCGGCTGGAAAATCAATTCTTGGAATTGCCAAGAACCAGCTCTAAAACAAAGATACATTTTGTTATCTTTTTGCTACCGACGACCCGACTAGGATGTGGATTCAGCCGAAGGAACTGCTCCTGCCCTCGGCATTCTGGTGAGTGATTGGCCCAAAGCAGGGCACAAACTTCTGGAGGCCGAAAACCTGCCCGCAAGTGCAGGCACGGGTGCGTGTGTGTGTGTGTGCTGGCATGTGTATATGCATTGTTCTGTGTTCATGGAAGGTGTCTCACGGACAGAGATAATCGCGAACTGCACTTCACACCAGGAGCTGCGGATCGCGCAAGGGGGCCACGCATGAACAGCGTAGTTGTGCTCGGTTTGGTTCTCTATTGTTGATAACTAATTGAGGCAGAGTTCACGACTCAAGAACAAATAAAAACACAGCTGCTGCTGCTGCTGCTGCGGGAGCAGCTTGAAAATTGACTTTCAACTGTTTCCTGCTGCGTAGAAAAAGTCCCCCACACTAGCACACACACACACACACACACTCGCGTGCGCACATGCACCGCCCCAAAAGAATTGCCATGCAACGTGGATCCGCTCCCAATCCCAACCCGATCCCTTGCTCTTCTCTTCGCAGGATTGCCGAGATGCACTCGCGATACTTTGTCCTGCAGAAGCGGCGCAGCCACGGCGAGTCACGCGGCTTCGGGTCCATTCTGGTGGGCACCTACGACAGTATGATGAACACCAAGCCGCCGCCGTACCGCATCCTCCATCAGACGCCCTCGTCGGAGGTGTCTTACGGTAGGTTCGAACCCCCATTGTGCGGCTTATCGGTTTCATTTGGAGGGGCGGCAGGCTGGGCGGGTCTTTGGCCAGCAATCTCTGTGGCCGTGAATCATCGCGAGTGGGTTGCTCTGAGTTTTCATGGGAGTTCGTCAATATTTCTTTCATCTCTGCATCGCTTACGTAAACTCACAGCGCTTCAGATTACTAAGCAGGGGTCTGGCTGGTTTCTTTTGTGATTTAATTGAGGGAACAATAAGGGAGGCGAAGCCGGGATTGGGGAACATAACCTAGAAATACTCTAGCAATAAGTACTTGTGGGGAAACAAGCTGTGGAAAAGTGCTATTGATCAGAACATTTTATACCCTTGTAGGGTATTATAATTTTTGTCAAAAGTTTGCAGTGGAGAGAAGGAGACAGCGAATCCAGAATAAATATTTTAAATCCCTTATACACCCTAGAAATCGCCATTGGCATCACCCAGGATGAGATAGTCAAGGACTGGGAATGGCTGCAGGCCAATCTGTTCAAAGTGCTGGACGAAATGGAAAACGAGGACGAGGTGACCAACTTCACCATATGCAAAATCCAATCGCTCTACACGCAGAACAACCAAGATAGCACCGGTGAATCCGCCGACGTCAAGGTGATGACCTCCCAGTTCAGGCAGATTTTTAAAATGCCGGAGGAGGAGCAGCTGGTTAACTCCTACTCGGCCACGTAAGAACGGCTAAGCCAACTTGTGCCCGTAGAAAGAGTTTCTAACAATTGCAATTATCCTACAGCTATGTGAAGAACAAGATCCCGCGTCAGGGACAGCTGTACATTTCGATGAACCACGTCTGCTTCTACTCGTACATGCTGGGGCAGGAGATAAAGCGCATCATACGCTGCGCTGAGCTCGAGGACATCAGCCGCAATGCCAACACCATTTATCTGAAGACCACCAACAACATGACCTACAACTTTACAATGCTCTTCAATGCCAGGGAGGCGCATCTCCTGATCGAGCAGCTCAACAAAATGGCCATAAAGCAGTTGATCCATGACCCTGACAGCCCTGTCGTCGACCACGATCCCTCCAACTTTGCCCGGCTGGGTAACAAGGTGTCCAAGAAGCCCGTGCTGCTGCGGGACTTGACGGCTCGCCAGAAGTCCGAGGAGTTCCGCATCCACTTCCGGCTGCCGCAGTCGGAGATAATCGATGGAAAGATCAAGGCGAATATCTGGACGCCCTACTCGAAGCGATTCAATGCCGGCTACATCTACCTGTCCCCGAACTTCTTCTGCTTTCGCAGCGACGTCAAGGATTTGGTCAGTGTGGTTATTCCCATGAAGACCATTAAGGTGGGTTTTTGAATCGCCATCCTCGACCTTCTTTTACAACTTTATGTTTTGTTGCAGAGCGTGGAGAAGAAGGACGACGGCCAGCAAAGGTTCGACAATCAAATTGTTATCATTACATCGGAGAACGTGCCTTTCATGTTTGCCCAGATCGTGGACAGGGATGTGCTGATCTCCAAGATCACAGATCTGCTGGCCCGCATTCACATGTAAGTTTCAAGCACAGGTACCTTGGTGTCCATGAAATTAATGAACATTTCCACACAGTCCTGTGAGTCGGGAGCGCGCCAAGTACGACATTTCGTGGAGCAAGCAGACGGCCCTGATGAACACCTTCAAGACGCAGTTCAGCGCGGACATCGTGCGCAAGCAGGAGGAGAAGATGGTGCGCTGGGAGGCGCACTTCCGGGACTTTGGACGCGGCATCGGCATGTTCCGCACCACGGATGTGATCAACCTGATTGTGGAGGGCATTCCCGACCAGCTGCGCCAGGAGATCTGGCTGATCTTCTCGGGCGCCATTCATGACAAGGAAATGAATCCGGGTCTCTACGAGGATCTTGTGGAGAAGGCGGCCTGCATCAAGAACTGCTTTGCCCACGACGAGATCGATCGCGACCTGCCGCGCTCGCTGCCCGAGCATCCGGCATTCCAAAGCACAGACGGCATCGGCGCCCTCCGACGAGTCCTGCAGGCCTACGCTCTGAGAAATCCCCAGGTGGGCTACTGTCAGGCCATGAACATTGTGTCGTCGGTGTTCCTGCTCTTCTGCGACGAGGAGAACGCCTTCTGGATGCTGGCCAGCCTGTGCGAGAATCTGTTGCCGGACTACTACAAGGACAAGGTGGTGGGTGCCCAGATTGACCAGGGCGTACTCAACGAGCTGGTGGAGACCCACCTGCCCGACCTGCACGGCCACCTGGAGAAGCTGGGCGTGATCAAGATGATCTCCATTTCCTGGTTCCTCACCATCTTCATGAGCGTGATCAGCTACGAGAGCTCGCTGCACATTCTCGACTGCTTCTTCTACGAGGGCGCCAAGATCATCTTCATGATCTCCCTCCAGATCATCGAGTGGAACCGGGACAAACTGCTGCGGTGTCAGGACGATGGCGAGGCCATGCTGGTGCTGCAGCACTACCTGGAGGGAATCTACAATCCGGAGTACCAGGTTCCACCCACCAATGACAAGCGCAAAATGGAGCGCACCCAGACCCAGACCGTGCAGACGCTCATCCACGAGGCGTACACCAAGTTCGGCGAGGAGCTGACTCATCAGCGCATCGACGAACTGCGCAACAAGCACCGTCGGCTGACCATGCGGCAGTTCGATATTGACAACGAGAAAACCATTGTGAAGGCCTACGTCCAGAACCCGTACTTCAACCGCAGCGAGCTGCACATGCTGCTCACCATCATTCGGGAGGAGAAGCACGCTCTGAAGTCGTTGCAGCAGCAGCAACAGAAGGCCCAGTGCCCGCTGTCGGAGATGCCGCAGCTGCTGCCGCAGTCGCCCAGCAGGGCGGCCCAGGATGCGGCCGCCTCTATTGGCAGATACGAGGCTTACTGCGTCAACTTTGAGGTGTTCCACACGCTTTTCACGGAGCTCACACCCTGGCGCAAGTGCGTCAGTGTGGACATTGGCGAAAAGCTTTTCAGGGTGAGCCTTATCCTAGAGATGCCCACCAAGCACAGCTTGCCAATAACTTAATTATTAATTTCATTTTTCAAATCAGCTCACGGATAAGAAGGGCACTGGTAACCTTGACATTGGTCAGCTCATCAACGCCCTGGGCCTGGTCTGCTCCGCCAAGAGCATGGAGAAGCTGAAGCTGCTCTTTGTCCTGCATTTGCCGCCATTGCTTTCCAAGGCAGAGATTGAACGGTCGCGACGGCCACGTCCGCGCACCAAAGACGATGCCGAGGAGGCCTTTGAGGCGGAAGATTTCTTTGAGTAAGTCGAAGATCTTAGTTACTATCCATCTTTATTGATCCCTGTTCTGCAGTAACGACGCCTCGGAGTCGATGGAGGCCTTGCCCTCGCCCTCGGATCACAACTTTGACGCCGACGACTTTGCCCTGGTCAGTGCCACACAGCACCTGCATAATCTGGCTGGAATCTCGGGCAATACGTTCATGGACTTGTCGCGCACCACGCCCAATCTCTCGCTGAACTCAAACGCCTCCTCGTTGCTGCAGCGCAACTCGACATTCTACGTGGACCTGCCGGCGGCACTCCAGGGTACTGCAACATCAACAGATGCTGGGCGGGACGATGAGGGGCCCCTGCGAGGGCTTCGCCAGCAGGGACGTTACGAATCGATTGACACATTTTCGGATATTTCAGATCTGGGAGCGGCCCGCATGACGCCGCCGGGAGCGGGAGCGGATGCGGCAGCCGGTGCAGCCTCGGCTGCGGCCGCCGCCGATCCACTGCTCTTGAATGTCGAGACTATATCGAATTTCTCACAGATCAGCGACCTGGTCGCTGCCACGCGACTGGAGCGCGCCGACTCGAATGCCACGGACTCGCGCAGTCTGGGCAGCCTCGGCTACCTGCTCGACCAGCCCGATGAGGGGGCGTCCGGCTCGCAGCACAGCATTCCGCACATGCGTAAGGAGAATTTCCAGCTGCTGTGGCGCAGCATCATAGAAATCATGGGTCTGGTGCAGGACGAGGAGATGCAAAGAGCCTGTAAGTGCAGACCGTTTCACAGCTGGGAAGCTTCTAAATTGTGCTTTGTTTCTAGACGAGAACCTCCTGGAGCTGGGAAACAGCAACATCAAGAAGGAGCCCAGCCTGGAGAGCTTCACCCAACTGAATATGGGGGGCAGTGGAGACGAGGTAAGAGTTAGACTAGAAGACTCGACTAGAAACGAAGTAGCCAATCACATTTGCATTTCCACAGCAGCCGGATAGCAATGGTAATCCCACCACACCCGCAGCGGAGCCCAGCAGCACCACCCGTCTCTTTGTGGCCCTCGAGGAGGAGCTGCGTCAGGCGGCTGGCGGAAAGGCCAGGACCGAGAGCAGCAGCAGCAGCAGCACAAACATCTCCGAGTCCTGGCACATATCCATCAGCCAGTTCATTGCCACGGTCCTGAATGTGAACAGCATCGTCCGAGGCTTCCAGGCGCCCACCCAGATCAGCGAGCAGATCGAGCAGCTGCAGAAGAAGCGGCGCAAGTGCTTGTCCACCAACTACTGAACACCCGCAGTCCCCGATTCCCCTACCCCCCTCCTAGCCACAAATCTGTATTAGCCATATATGAGAGCCCGACCTTGATCCTGGATCCTTGTGCAATGCGGCTGGCTTTTAATCGTATCCACGTTTTATGTATGTATATTGTATTGCCTCTGCAGTAAGTTAAGACAATTGTTTGTGAATATAATTCTATTATTCCTATTATACATTACTCCCATACGAGCTACATGTCCATGGCCACCTGCTGATCCTCACTTCTCCTGTTCGCCGCCGCATGCTGGCGCTCGTGCTCTGCGGTTCGCACCAGGCACTCCTCGTACGTCCACTTGGGGAAGACTCGCTTGTACAGGTACATGAAGGCCGTGTCGTAGGACCGCAGCTGGCCGTCGAAGTAGCACTTCATGTGGCCGTGGGTGCCGAGCGACTCCTTGATGTGTCCCAGCCGTCCGCACTTTGTCCTTAGCTTCACCGGCCTGAAGTACTCCACGTCCTCCTTGTAGAAGAACATGTACCTGATCGTCGCCGACTTGCGATTGATGCGCATGGGGTGGCCGCTGAGGACCACGCGCTTGAGAACAATGCGATCGGGATTGCAGGAAAGCAGCCGTCCGCGGGCCACCAGAGCCAGCGTGGAGTCGGGATTAACCTTGAAGGCAAGCACAGCCGCCGGAGGGAACTGAATGGGGGCGTAGAACGTGGCGCAAACCGTCTCGTACGGGCGGAAGTAGCGTTCGAACTGGCCGGGAGATTTCCATTAACACTGATCAACATGAAGAGTCAATATGCTCACCTTGTGCTTGTCTCCGTTGGTGTGCTGGCTGTAGATGGGGTTCACCACGAAGCGACGATAGCCGCACTGGATAATTAGCTGCTCCTTGGACTTCAGAGGCACCTCGGAGTCCGGCATTCGCTGCAGGACGACGTTCATTATGCACATCTGGTGCTCATGCGGCAGCATTCCGTACACAATGATGTTGTCCGTGAGTTGGGCGGACCTAAAGGCGTTCCATCGGCTCTCCGGCACATTAATCACATGGAGCGTGACATAAAAGCCGGGCTAAAAAGGAGATATATAACAATATAGCGAGAAAGTGGGGGGCAGAGAAGCCGGTTTAGCCTTACCAGCACACCCTCGAACTCCTTGGCCTCGGCCAGAATCCTCCGCTTGGTGCGGTCAAAGTTCTGGAACTGATAGATGCGCGCATAATCGGCGGGCAGATTCTCCTTGGCATCCCAAGGCGACGTCCTGAACGACTCCAGGCCGCGGTACTTCTGGAACCTCTCATGGGCGGGCACGTCCAGGGGAGTGTCGATCTCATCCGGCCACAGCTGATCTGTTCGCGCCTGCTGCAGCTTCTGCAGTGTCTCCCGCTCCTCCTGGAAGTCCATCTGGTTGTCGTACTTTTCGTCGTTGATGGCCGCCTCCGATGCGACGGACACACTGTCCAGGTACTCCTCAGTATCGGAATCCCGCTTCTCGTACTCGTCCTCGAAGGATTTGTTGTCGCAGGACATGAAGTCCTCGTCATCTTCGTCGCCTTCGTCGTCGTCATCCGAGTCCTCGCTCATGTCATCGTCCCCCTTGCTGTCCGGATCTTCCACCTCCTCGACATCGGGTATCCAGGCCGCCTGATACTCGCTGTAGCCCTTGGGCACACGCTTCACCAGCTTCATCTTCTTGGTTTCCTGCTGCGAGGCAGCGATCTCCTCCTCCGTGGGCCACGTCTGCTCCGCGTCCATGGGGTCGGGTATGTTCTCGCTCTGCAGCGAGGTGCGCTTCAGGGGGTCGCTGCGATCCAAGAGCCGCACCTCTGCATTCTCGCCGTCGCGAGATTTGTCCAGTTTGTATGGATCTGGCGGCGCCACCACCTGACCCAGCTGGAAGTCACCCAGGCCGGGAATGTGCACCAAGCCGTTCACATTTAGGGATTGTCCGCGAAGGAATCCCGTGACCTCCAGGGTTCCGAGATCCTCGCTGGGGTCAGAGTTTGCCTTGAACTCAACGACGTCGCCAAAGAGATGCGGCCGGTTGGCCACGTTGTGCAGAATGCGCTTCTTCTGCCCGCCAATGCGACGCATCACCGTCAGACCCTCGGTGGCCGTGTCGAGCTGCATCACCTTCTCCTCGGGCAGCAGCTTGGAGATGAACTTCTGCGCCGCCTGCTTGGCTGCGGGTCTACGCTTGGGGTTGATAGACTCCAGATCCATAAGTGCCACCACAGGCGTGGGAATTCCCTGCGCAGACATCATGTTGAAGATGCGCTGGCCCCAGCGATCAAAGACCTCGTCCTCGCCAAAGGCGGCAGAGGTCAGGAGCAGGGTGGTATCACACACCTTGAGGTAGTCCAGGGCAATCAGCTCGTTGCCCCGACCCGCAGGTGGCGTAACGAAGGCGAAGCGCTGCTTGAACCGGGGAAGATTCATGTAAACGATGCCGCTCGGAGAGTTCTCCACCACCAGTTCGCTGTCGCAGCTCTCGAGGATGGCCAGCGCTGACTTGGGGTCGATCTGTTCGTGCATGGGCAGCAGGCAGACGAGGAAGGGAGCCGTGTTCTGGCCACCGAGCTTCCTCTTCTGCTCCAGAACCTCCTCCCGCTTGTTCCTGCGCAGCTGGTTCATCTGGTTGCGGCGCTGCTCCTTGCGCTGTTGCTGCTTGTGCTTGTGAGACACCGCCTGGAGTCCCACCTTGCCTGGAAGCGGAGGATGAACGGAGTTAAAAAAGATTCTTGTCTTGGAAATCTCCAAGAATATCTTACCCTTCATGGCATTATCAATGGCTCCCTTGGAGCGGTGACGCCCTGTTTTGTGGGCCTTGTTTGTTTGCTTCAGCGGCCCGGGCCGGTGAAAAGCGTGATCGGCCATGCTTGCAGGTGTTTTAACCGACGAAATATCCTATTAATTTGCGTTATATTTTTTGTTTTCGCTCGAGCACATGTTCCGCGCCAGTGTGACCTGATGAAAATTTAGCTCTCACCCTAAAAAATCCACACCTGATATTCGAACCTCATCTAATATTCGAACCACACCACACAAGAATAACAGTATTTCCCTCACCCCTAATATTCCAGTTGAAATCTAGTATTTCTTCGCGTTAGTACTTAGATCTGGTCTCTCTTTTTAGTAGACGTTAAATTTGAATTCTTGCAATTTTTAGAAACTGTTTTTAAAGCCCCCTAAATGCCGAAATAAAACGCCAAATCGTTCGTTTTTTTAAACCACATTCAATGTAAATATGTATTTGCTGTTTATGGTATAGACTTGACGTCTGCTTGAATATAACGCTGTTTATTTGCTAATTTACATCCATCCTGTGATATATGTACGCGTCGGATTCTCTGCTGTAGTAGCACAGTATAGTAATAGTTCAACTGCCTTTGATTTTGAGCGACCTCCGCCTCGGCGCGCCTTTTGAAATATGTATGTAGTCTCGTCTCGAATGGGTTTGGGCAGGGCTTACATAGATAGGTAGTAATAGTAATAGTAATAGTAGCAGTAATAGTAAGTAATTAACTTAGTTGCGTAGGGTATTCATTAGTGGGGTGTGTAAATAATTTCCAAGGGTCTCCTCTCGGCGTGGGTCTTTCTAAAACTTAACGATAGGCCATCATAACACTTAACGATTAGGAGTTATAAACAAAATGTAATCGTAGGTAAATTGAGTGATTGTTTCTCATTAATTGGATTTGGTTCCCACTCTCGAGATGTCCACGCGGGGCTATAGATATCCTAGTAGGATCCTGGCGATCCCTGGCGAAGTCCAACGGCGTGCTGGATAAATCTCAATGTTGCATGATTTTGATGCGTTTCATCCGCCCCGCTCCTCTCTTCTTCTCTCGTTAAAGTAATTTATGCAGTTGTATAATGGATATTTGTATATATATATATATTGTTCAATATTTTTATGCATCAATCAATGCCAATGCGGTGGCCTGCCCTAAAAAATTATACGTATCGCGTCCCGTTCCGCCCCGAAGTTCCCATTTACATACAAAACATACCGAGTACTCTCTTCTACTCCTCACTAGGGTCTTACAAAATTGGTGCCATCTTGTCAGTGTTTCTCTTTGTGTGTGCTTCATTAAATGCCAGAGCTCGGCCCTGCCCTCCGTGTCCGTGACCATGCCCGCGTCCTTGTCCGTATCCTTTTGAGTGCGCCCCACTCTTCCCTTTGATATTTGTGCCGGTTTATTGTGTGGTGTTCTCTTCATTGTGCTTGGAATCTGGTTCGGAATCGGAATCGGGATCGGGTGGCTCCTGCGCGGCAATTGGCCAATTACATGTTCCGGCACTGGGCGCAAACGGAGCGCGCCTTTGTATTGTCACGCACAAAATCATGCACATTGAACTTTCCATCATCGCCGTGCTCGTAGCCGCGACTCTTCAGCTGCCTGTTGATGACAAGAGAAATGACAATGGCGATGAAATGGTTGAATGGGATGCGGTAAGGCGTTGGAGGAAGTCAAAGACTCAGCTGGCAAAGAAGCCTCCAGAGAAGTCATGGTGACCAGAAGAAGGGGCATTCCCCATTCCTGAGGCCTCGCTTAGACCAATCTGTAACGGATGTATCCGTAAATAGGAAGACCTACCTGGCCACCGCTGTGAAGGCCAGCTCCACGTTAAGTCCCGTCTTGGCCGAGGTCTCCATGAAGGGCACATTGTGCTCCCGTCCCAGGCGCTCGCCATCCTCGCGCTTCACTTGCCGCTCGCTGCCGCTGCAGTCGGCCTTGTTGCCTGAAAGGCGGAGGGAATTCGATTTGAAACTCGTAAGTTGATTAAGCATAATCAAATGTGGCGAAAAGGTGGCCTTTTAACCGGATCACTCACCTATTAAAACGATGACCACGTCCTCCTGCGCGTACTCCCGGATCTCGCCCAGCCAGGCGCGTATGTTGTCGTAGGTGGTCTTGTTGGTCACGTCGTACAGCAGCAGCAGAGCTTCGGATGCAGATGACAGATTTAATTAGTTTTAAAAGAAAGCCGGTGGAAGGTCACATGGGGATGCACACGAACAAAAATGTAACATTTACACTAACTAAAAATAATGTGTATGTAAATGTAAGTTAAATAATTACATATATGTATGTATAACGACTGATTTATTTTATTTTTTAATTCCATAAACTTTGCAAAGATTTAGAGGAATATACGTTTTCGTTAATTTTAAATGAATAAACTTTTTGAGAAAATGTTGCATTTCTCTTTAATTTACATAGGGAAAAGCGTAGTAGGATTCCTTGGAAAATAACACAGTAAACTGTTAACAACGGTAAAGCAGAAAATAATGAATTTTATTACTCAGAAAAAGATGATTACAAATGAGAGTAATTTTATCCTCTACAGTTTAACATAAAATAAACAGTTTGCAATATCTAAAATATATGTTATACTTGTGCATTTTATAGCTACTAGTTTTAGTTAGTTTTGGTTTGCTCTGTTTTAGGTGAACAAATAAAGTCAAAGGATTTACTTACCGTGTGCGTCGCGGTAGTAGGCGTGTGTAACGCTACGGAATCGCTCCTGTCCGGCCGTGTCCCATATCTGCAGCTTGACCCGGGTGCCATCGACGACGACCACTTTATTCTGTTGACATTTTTATAATTTTTGTAATTGACAAAGTGAATTTTGATTTATTAATTTATTAAAACCAAGCACGAAGGTCGCCCGTGGAAATGCAATTGTTATGTAAAATGCAATTAATTTACGAAATATTCATGCACAAAAGCCGTGCCACCGAATTACACAGAAAAAGAGAGAGAGACAGAGAGAGAGATACAGAAAGGGGATAAAAAAGAGCGGACAACGTGGCGTATGCTTAATGCATATCACTTATACGCAACGTGTGTTCGTGTGACTGTGGGCCCAAAAACACATGCAGACACGTAAAATAAAATTGAGAGTGGGAATATTCATAAGTACGAGCAGACGACGGCAATTTCCATGATGAAAGCCCGCCGCCTCGAAGGATCCGGCATAATGATGAGCCACTGCCTCCTTGTATGTATTTTGCCTTTTTCCCGGATAATGAGCAGCAGACGTTGTAAGTTCGTCCGGCCATTGGCATTACGATTGCCCCATGCTGTGCGTCCCCCCCACTAACTACTCAGACAGTCAGTCAATACCAATAAAGTGCGAGGAAGTACGGGAGGGGCGAGGCACCCGGGGTACCCAGGGGGGGATACAGGACATACGGCAAAAGGTACTACCACTAGTACGGGTGTATGAATTTAATGTGTATGTGCGGCATATTGCCTTGATTTGATTTCGATTTCGAGTTCGGGAAAAGTAACACGAGTAAAAAGATAAACCCAGAATTTCTGGCTGAGCGCACAGCAGGTTAATGCACTGCCACAAATTCGGGAATAACCAACATAGAGTACTACAAATCGGGGTCATTTAGGCAAGATGAATATTTACAAATTATGTTAAGCCCAATATAATTTAAATACTTTAAATATTTATAACAAAATCAAAAGAATAAAGGACATAAACTTTCTTAAACCATAAATATTGTTCTTGTGTTCGCTGTGTGTAAATATTGACAGAGACAAGGTATATTTGACCAGATACATGATGATTCAGATGAATAAGAGTACACACACAGAAAAAACAAATACACAAACATATTTTACAACATTTAGAGGAGGCGAAATATAAGTTCATGAACAACACTGCTTACATCTAGAGAGTTCAAACATTTAATTATCCATAAATTGGCAGTCACTCATATACAATATTCGTTTACTTTATACTTTGGCCAAGAATCAGCCAAGTTGAAAAATCAACATGAACAACTCCCCGGCGAATTAAATTTCAGGTCATTCCCCACCGCCCCACCGTTCCACCCAGGTCGGTTGGGAGCTGGAAGGCAATCCCCGAGGCCAAAGTTAGACAATGCCAGCGTCGACATATTTAATATGGAAAACATGGCAACAATTTAAAGTCAAGGAAACGTCAAATGAATGGGGGCACTTGTAGAATTTCACAGGACAGAGACAGATAGTAGCAAGGGGGCGTGGGGATAGAGGCGGAGGCAATCCCCGCGTGTAGTTTAATAAATTTATGAGCCATGAACCGCAAAGGAAACGAGGGATATAGTATGGTGGAATTGAAGGGAAGCTAGAGAAGCAGCCTCGCCAGCCTCCGGCCAGGACAACTAAGCCTCTAAATGTTGAATCGCGCAGGAACCCCCACAATAATAAGCACAATAAAAGCAATAACACCAAGTTAAATACGTTGAAGAAGAGTAAACAGGGCACACACCGATGCAGATACAGATACACACACGCAGGGACACGAGGAGGAACGAACATCAACAAGTCCTTTTCAAGTTCACATGCTTTTTAATAAATAGTCCCCCAAGGATCTTTATCTTTATCAACAACAAGCCCCAGCACGGCGAGCTGGACTGGGGCCCGGATTTGTATGGTTTGCTGGGGAAGGAGGTGGCTTTTGTGGGGTTTTTGGGGCAAGAACAACAAGAACAAGAACACGGAGATGAACTGAACATAAAGAGGACAACCGCAGGCAACTACGAAATCATGAAAACCACAGCCCATAGACGGGTCAGAGAAAGGGACAGACACAGATGGAAAGAGAGAGACGGAGACAGAGGCAGACAAAGATATATAGACAGAGACAGAGCGTTAAAGCAGAGAGGTAAGTAGGTGAAAATCGCATTCAGTACCTTGACAACTGTTGACAGGACGCACTTAGCGGTAAGAGAAGGAGTGAGAGTGATACAGAGAGAGTAATAATTAAGCAACTAACCTGAGCTTTATTTTATGGAATTTACAACAAATAGCTTTAGATGTTAAAGCTTTTATCTACATGTTTTATCCTTTGAAAATATAAGTAATATATTACTTGAAATTACCCGGAATTAAACATCTAATTAAACTTGCTTTGGACTTTTGAAATTACCACAATACAAGAAATAACTTTTTTTCATTTCCTGTAACTTGCTAATTTAATGGACTAACAAGTTTGAAAAGTTTTTAAGTTCGCAGGACTCTTTGAGTACTATAAACTTGATTCTTTTGTGAACTAATAAGGTTAGACTACCTATTTTGAACACTTTCAAACTAAAAACTACATTTTTAACGGCAAATAAGTATATTTTTAAGTTAATAATTCTTTCATAAAGTATTTCCTGATCTTAGTTCTTACAAGTTCAATAAAAGATACAATTTTAGAGCTTAATATTTCTCCCTGTGTACACAATGACGGACAGTTCAAATAGATGGATAAATGATGCGAGAGTCAGAGCCAGAGTCAGAGATGTGTATAAACTATGAGGAAAGGAGAAAGTACTTATGCGGAAAGTATACAACAATGATAGGAAGAGTATCCACAACAAGCAACGATAACAACAACAAGAACAACATGGATAATGACAACAATATACACACATGTACTTGAGAACAGAACACACACTCACAGACAATATATAGAACGAGTACAGAGGAACTGAACAAAATAGGAGCGTATCATAGAACAAACGCAACATTTGGCGGGAATAAAGCGCTTACCCTAAAATCAATGCCGACCGTGCTGAGGAAATAGCTCGGCACATAGCGACCGTCTCGGAAACGGATCAGGAGCGAGGTCTTGCCCACTCCCGAGTCGCCCAGCATTATGACCTGCGATTGCCGCCGTCAAGTGATATAGGAGATATATATATAGGTGTCAGTCATTATATACATAGGTAATGGATATTATCAACGGGTCCTTAAGGGGCTCTGGTCCTCCTTAAGTCGCGGTTAGATTTTTCTTTGCCATAATTTATGCGCCCGGCCCCTAATGTTGTGGTCTAAATATTTAATGAGTTGCTTATGAATTTTACATGCCCATCCCATGGATTGCTGAGAGCTCTCGATTGCAGGGAATACACCCACCGCCATGAAATCCCGGATTCCCCGAATCCCTTTTAAAGGCTGTCTGCCTGCCTGCCTGATGTTGACTTGGCCGGAATACGCAGATTTACATACGGGGTTCGGTTATGCAAACACTGCAATTGCTGATTTGCCAGGGGAAAACCCGTATTTGCCTGCTGCTAACTAGACGAATATTTTACCCGAATATTGTATTCATACAAGCAGAGAAAAGCCTTGAAATGAATGGTAATATGAAAAAGTAAAGTATAATAATGTGGAAAAGTACAATTTTAATACAAGTTGAGTTTAATGATTTTAATTTGAAATTTGTTAGACTTCCGCTTAAATCGGTTAAATTTTGAGAGTAAATTTTAAATTTTAAATTGTTCAATACCTTGTAAGAAGTTGTCTTATTAAATTTAATATGCCACATTTTTACTAGAAATTGCTTAAAATCTTATTAGATTTTAGTACTATTTAAGTATAAATAATATTTAATAATTTAGTTAAATACAAACATCGCTTTTCTATGTGCATTTAACCTCCATACCTGGCCCAAATTCAAATCGAAATTGTTTAAACAATTGCTTACATCGGAGCCAACTAATTTGCACACTTTAAATGGCTTTAAAGCCGCCTGGGGGGGATTTATGCAAATGTTAGTGCCGCCTCGCCTTGGCGTTTAACGAGCGCGACAAATAAATGAAATTTTTATGCAGCTCCTGTTTTATACATTTTTCATTTCCCCAACTTTGGGGACTGACTGGGCTGGCAGCCGGTTGACAGGAAGTCGCCGCCAGGAGTCGCAGTCCTGTGTCATAATTCCCCAGAATTATTCTAATCAACAGCAGCTGCAGCTGGGGGCCGGAATGTCACAAAAACTTTGCTCTCCGAATGAAGAGGAGGAACTTTCCTTTTGCCTTTGCCGCCGCCCGGCCATTTAATTTCCTTTGTCAGTGTGCACTTTATTGAATTTTATGACTTTATTTTCGTCTGCTTATGTAAATCACATTGTAAATCAGGCCAAAAGCCGATCAGGGCCCGGCGAATAAAAGCCGGCTCGTAAAAGTCACAGGCAGTCAAACAAAAAGGTATAATACATAAATCAAATTGCGGCCGAAGGATTAGCACTTGGCCCCCAGACTCCTGGGTTCCCCGTAAGTATGCGTATATATGAGCCAAAAAAAGAAAGTATACTCTTTGGAACGCCTTTGTTGTCGCCTTTTTGTGAATGCAAATTGGCAGTTGACGAGTTGAATCGAAAAAGGGATTTTTCTTTGCATCATTTCGTGAAGAATTTCTGCAGCAGGCGTTCCAATTTATTTTTTCCAACTAAGAATATTATATTTGAATGTTTAAAAGTTGAATAGAAATTGTGCTTCTGATAAAACAACAACATTTGCGCTTCCTAATTAAATATTTCTGCGAGCAAGTACTTATGAACTCCCCTTCCCTGATTTATTTTTTAAAGAACCTAAAACTTAACTTGATATTATATTTATTCCTTTGATATATTCCTTGGCTTGGTAACCATTAACAGATGCCCCAAAAAGATGCCTCCTAGCAGCTGGAATAATTCCCACTAATTGCAAAGTTTCGACGGCTTATTCACCTTGCCCATTATGTCAAAGTCCTCATCCTCCTCCGGCGCATTGGTAGATGAAATCATGCGGATGAGTGCTCGTCCGGCGTTCTTGCAGAGAGTGGCGCTGGCCCCTTCGTTGCCCGGGCCAGGGGCTGGCGGAGCAGGTGCCACAGATGCTCTGGCAGGTGCTGCTCCAGTACCCAATCCGCCTCCTCCTCCTCCGCCGCCGGCTGAATCCAGAAGTGGCTGCTGCTCGGCCCCGCCAGCCAAGCGTGCAGTGTTCAGGCGTGCCATGAAACCATTGCCGGTTGATGGCAGATGCTGCGAGGCTGTCTGTGGCACCTGATCCCGGAACAAGGATCCGGAGGTCATGTACTCCGGCAACAGCGGCTGCTGAGAGATGGACTGCTGGCGCTGGTGGACAATAACGCTGGGTCGCCGCTTCGGATAGCCATCGTCATCGGAGTCGTCCGAGGCGATGCCATTGATCTTGTCCAGCGTCTTGGGGGGCAGCTGGCCGGGAGTGATGTGCTGCCACGTGGGCTTGACCAGAGACTCTCGCCGCGTCGGCGATCCGCTGGCCAGCGGTGAGGCACTGGCTACGGAGATGGAGGGCTTGCGTGCTCCCGAGGGACTGGCGATGGAGTCACTCCGGTATCTGGTCTGCTGACGACGCATCTTGCTGAAACCTCTTTACTTCCTGCTGATTGGCCTGATTCTATATTTAACACACGCACATAAATCAATAATCTCGGCTCCGATGTCGGATGTCGGTTGTGTCTTCATTATTGATGGGCCAAAACCCACCCCCGGGACACAGTATTACGCTCCCCGAAAAAAAGAGAAAATACATAACTTAAGGAGAACCCCAGCTCCTTGAAAGTTTGTTTAGGTCCCTGGATACACACGCAGGCACACTCGCACACACACAGCCACACAGTTGGTTGTAATTATGTACTGGCATTAAAACTCATTAAAAACCATAAACAAAATGGAGGCAAACTTTCATTATCCCCGCTGTTGTGATTGCGCTTTAATAAATAAATGTATGTGGGAACGGAAATGAAAATGGCGAAAATTTTCACTTTTCAGTTAGCCGCCATAAAACAATGGACAGGCGGGCATGCGAACAGGTGCAAATTGAATGTAATTTCAACGCTCTCTCTTTTTGGCCAAATGAAATGAAAACCGAAATCCACAAATGCCCCCGGGCCACAAAACAACTGTCGTTGACAACAGGCTGAACGGGGGGTGGAGGCGACTCTTTTGGGGTTGGGGTGCTGCTGCGGAAAATGGAGGGTGTCAGGTGGGACGGAAACGGGAGGGAGGCTGGTGTTATTGCGGTCGCCTGTCGCTAAATCAACAGTTGGCAAACAAACCGCAAGGCCAACGAAAGCGAAGCCAGCTCGAAGCTGTGGCTATAACTAAATTTTTGGCTAATTATGCATTGGCCCGTCCGCCGAGGAAAATTCGGGAACAGCGGTCGTGGCCCTGTGATTAACTAGCGCTCATTAGCACCCACAAGAAAGGCCACGCTAAGTGATTACAAATCGCTTGTATGTGTCTCTCTGCTGACACGGCCTAGAGTTTTTGGGCCAAGAAAGAGTTGTGTTTTCTCAAAGAAATGTTTTAAATGTTTAAATGTTAAAAAGAAAACATAGGGTTAGTTCATAAATTTCTTTTATATTTTAAGTTAAAAAAAACAAAGCATCAAATAATTATTTGCTAGTTTTAAAAGAAAAACTTAGGGTAACAAAAAAACAGTTTTAAGGATTATTAAATTGTATTACTTATTATTTGATACTAAAATGAATACTAAAATAATTAATATAAAAATCCATGAGTTTTGAACATTTTGAAGACTATTAATTTACTAAAAATTTAAGGCAACTAAAATAAGTAATGACTATTATTCAGGTACTTATTTCAATTGCTTTAAATTCAATTAAATTATTTACTCAGCAAACAAGAAATCTAAATAGAAAATGTAATATAAAAAAGGTAGAAAGATTTCTTAAATTAGAGGCTTTAAATTTGTTGGAAAAAGTTGAAGTTAAAGGTAATAAGTAAATCATAAAAACAACAAAAAATAATAATAATTTGAAAAAAAAAAGATAATATGTAAATGATGGAGACCATTTTCCGAGTTTAAAGGCTTCCATTATCCGGAAAAATCGGATGTTGAGGTTGTCAAAAAGCCTGAATCCTTCAATTGTATTATTTATTTTAAGCAAAAAATAAAAACCAAAGCGAAAAATAAATATAACAATATTAAAAAGTGGCGTTTTTCAAGTTAACTGGCTTTAAATTTATCAGAAAATATAGTAGAAATAATGTAATGACCTTTAATACCTTACAATTTAAAGCATCAAAACAAACAAATCAGCAAATAAATTATAAAAATATGCAAGCTAGCTGGATTTGCAAATCGACAAAAGGAAATATTTCATAAAATTTCTCTAAACTAAACCACCCCTCGGAGAGCAATCCATAAACTAGAAATCACATTCCGTATGGCAAAAGTTCGTCCAACTTTTATTCGCTTTGACGTTTTTGGGGTTGCCAGCAGCAGCAGCAGCGACGGGACGTATTTCAGCCGAACTTCAATTTAATTTGCAGCTCCACAAATTGCGAAATGCCAATACATATATCAATATGCTTGTATGGCTTTCACTTTTCAGGCCAAAAACCCCTTTTGACGTGGGTGGATTGTTGGTTGGATTCGCCCGCAGATCCAAGCAAATTCACCCATCCATCCTTCACCCTCCTGCATGGCTGTCTGCAACCTGTCGTTTCACCTTTATTTCTTTCGCCTTTTCTGGGGCGCCTTAAAGCGCTCTTTTTTATGGCGGCTCCTCTCGGCGAGAAGGTCCTTAAATGCAGGTCAACGGCAGAGTCAGCGGACACGTGCAAACTGTTAACTACCTTCCGAAGGCGAATGAAATGGAAAGGCAATGAAATCGGATAACCCTTGAGCCTGGGACAATTTGTTAAAGCCGAGAAAAGCAGGCATTTGCCATGAATAGGAATATATATTCCGATGTTTGCCAATCGAAAAGAAGCAGTTGCGAAAATTCAATTACTTGGAAAATGTAATTTAATTGCATTTGAAAAAGGATTTATTAAAAGATATCAAATTAAATATCACGTTATACATTTAATAAAATAAATATAAAAATTT